GGCGGGGGCAGGAGTGGAAGTTGCTCCCCCCCTGAGCGGGCCTAGGGTGTTTTTCCCGAGGAATTTCTCAGGAGGCCCCCCCCATCCCCCGCTCCGAAGGGTCCCGGGGGCCCCGGAGGGGTGAGTCAGCGCTGACGCACGCCCAGCTGCGCTCCTCTGGCTGGGTGCCACGTCCCCCCTGCCCCCAAGCAGGGTTCCCGGTGCGGGGCACCTGGGGGTTGGGAAGATCTTGGTCCCTCAAGTGATGATCGAGAGGGCTTCCCGGTCTGAGAGACTCCAGGCAGGCCCTCTTGGAAACCCCTCCTTAAGATAAACTCAGACCCCCAACACACACACACACCCCATTTTCTCTGAAGTTCAGGGAGGTGCCTGCTCACGTGGATAACCCCAGATTGGCCTATGCCCCATTCCCACGCTCACTCATCCACACTAGCGTCCAAGCTCGGGCAATTATTCAGAATGCAAGCCCCTGGGACACCAGGAATGTTAACACCGGTGCCCACGCTCAGGCAGCCCCATCAGTCACCCGCACAAGGCCACAGCTTTTGTCACCCTCCTACCCTTTCAAACGCTCACATATGCTTCCACTGGCACCCACACAACATGGTCAACATTCACAACCAGTCACCCACACGTTGGCTTGGCGACACTTTCAGATATTACCACACGCCCCCAACTCCAGTCTAAACACAATCACAGATCACCTGTGAGACCTCACTGCCGACCGGACTCACATGGACACACAGCCACAAGTCACAGAACTGGACCTAATCTTTCCATCACAGGCCACAGACCCACACGCACGGACACCACAGATCATGTTCTTAGCCATTCTCTGCTCCATGAATGTCACACACATGCACCATCTCACGCACGTGCACAGTAGCACATACACACATTGCACAGACACTCACACCTACGCTTTCCTACACTGAGGGTATCCCAGCCATGTCCCAGCCTGGTCCCTGCCTGCCTCCCTCCACATCCTAGACCCCACCCAACGTTTCCCTGGGACCCTGACCAACACAGGGGAGAGTCTGTGAGGGAAGGGTGGGCTGGGTCCGTGACAGACCCCCACCCCCTGACTGCAGGCAAGACTCAATGCCTCTTGTGTGTCTTCTTGTCACGAAGCCAGCCATGAAAAGAAAGGGAGGTCAGTTTCTGAAAGGTCATTTCAGAAGGGACACAGGACTGAAGCAAGAGGCATTTGGGTTAGATGCTGGGAAGGACTTTTTAAACGTGAATGAGCAGCTGGTAGAGAGGAGATTTGTCCCCCTGCATGGAGACTGAGGGCTGGATGAGGGGGAGCCTGGGAGAGCCACACTGAGATGCTGGTTCTCAGCCCTCCCCTGGGCCCCAGCCTGGAGAGGGGGCAGCTGGGATGGTCACTGCACGAGGGAGTGACCCTTGTGGTTAGCAGAGCCTGGGAGCCCAGATCTTAGCCCCAGGGGTCTGTAACCCAAATACCTCTTAATGACAGCCCAGCCACAGAACAGGCAATTAGAGATGGGGCTGATGATGGTAGCAGATGGGGGGGGGGCGGGAGATAGATAGAGAGAGAGAACAGTCCACACAGAGATACAGAGAGATAGAGAGGCACTGAGATAGAGACATGCAGAGAGAGACAGATAGGAGACCAAATAAAATACAGAGAGAGAGAGAGAGAGAGAGAGAGAGAGAGAGAGGAAGAGAGAGACTGATTCAGAGCTGGACACAGAGAGAGACCTGGAAAGACCGAGACAGAAAGTGGGACAGAGAGAGGGCGGGGTGGGGGAGAGAAGACATAAAAAAAAAGAAAAAGAGCAGAAGGAAGTGGGGTAAGAGGGAGCTGAGGCTGGAACAGGCTCTACGGAGTCTGCAGAATGAAGTCTGGCCCAGGAGAGGCTGGAATGGGGTCCCTCACCCAAGCCCCTATTTCCCTCAGCTCGGGGCCCCTATCCTGGTTCCCAATGGTGAGGTCAGCAGAGCCGCCCCCAGGCTGAGGTCATGGGCAGATCCAGTAGAATCTGACTCCTGCCAAGAGGCTGGGTCAGGGGGTCAGTGGGGCGTCTGCTGGGGGTGGAGAGGAGGGGAGATCGGGCAGGGGCTTTGGGCCAGGGGTAGCCCCGCCCACTCCTGCCCAGCCATGTGGTTCCACTTACTGCTGGCCAGCCTGGGCTGCAAGGGGTGGGGCTGGTAGAACTGCTTGGATTGGGCTCTGATTGGGCCAGACCAGTTCCTTCCTTTGCTGGGGTGAGAGGGAGCAGGTCAGAGGGAGGAGGTCAGGAGGTTATCAGAGAGGTAACCTTGGTTCATAATGAAGACAAAGAGGGAGATAAAATGGGGAGGTCACAGGTCAGATGACTGGGATAGGCAGAGGGAGGAGGGAGGAGGGGATGGCCAGAGAAAGAGTGGTCCCAGGGAGGAGATCATGGGTGACGGTGGTCAAGGAGGAGGTCGGAAGGCAGCGGTCAGGAGAGGTGGTGGTCAGAGGGAGCAGTTCATAGGCAGTGGTGGTCAAAGGAAGAGGTCAGAGGGAGGAGGTGGGGAAGGAACATGCAAGAGGCCCCATCCTCTCCAAGTGGGTTTCCCCTGGCAAGGGGGCTCCAGGCCTGGAAGTTGCCCCAGGGAGCTGGTGCGGGGGAGTGCGGAGAGGGGGACAGTCTGGCTCTGGGGCTCAGGCCAGGAAGCTTTGATTCATCCCAGAACTAGGTCAGTGTTTTCTCTCTCACCAAAACCAAGGGGGAAAAAACACAACAAAACAGGAGTCAACAGGCTAATGGGGCCGCAACAGCTGTGGGTTGGAGAGGGGGGTGAGGGTCCCAGACCTGCTCCCTCTCTCTGACCCATAAACACAGTGTGTGTGTGGCGGGGGGAGCTGGGTCCCCAGACCTGAGCCACTCACATGGAGCCCTGGGCTTATTCTAACTGCCATGCACCCCGCTTCTTTCTGCAGCAGACCCCGTGGATGTGCTGGAGGCTCTGGGTGTGCGGGGGGGCCAGGCTGGGGTCCCCGAGGGGCCTGGCCTCTGCCCCCAGAGGGTCCCAGAGGGCGACCGGGCATTCAGGGTGGGCAAGGCCAGTACACTGGGCGTCCCCACGTGGGAACTGTTTCCAGGTAAGTCAGTGTGGGAGGGACTGGGGTCATCCTGGGAGCAGGGCCACTGCCAGGTCCTCTGAGTTGCCCCTTTCCCTCCGGACCCCATCAGATGAACAGTTTCCTGAGAACTTCTCTGTCCTGATCACCCTGCGGGGCCAGCCAGCCAACCAGTCTATCCTTCTGTCCGTCTATGATGAGGATGGTGCCCGGCAGCTGGGCCTGGCGCTGGGGCCAGCTCTGGGCCTCCTAGGTGGCTCCTTTAGACCCCTCCCCCAGCAGGTCAACCTCATGGATGGCAGGTGAGCAGAGGGAGAGTGAGGGCCCACAGAGTGGGTGGGTGAGACGCACCCCCCACGGAGACCTCTCCCTGCAGGTGGCACCGCGTGGCAGTCAGTGTGGATGGCGGCGCGGCGACCCTGGTGGCTGACTGTGAACCTCAGCCCCCGGTGCTGGGTCAGGGGCCTCGGTTCATCAGCACAGCTGGACTCACGATGCTGGGGAGCCAGGACCTCGGGGAGGAGAGCTTTGAGGTAGGTGTTCAATGAGAGGGGACCCTGAGGCAGTGGGCGGGCAGTCGTTTTATCCACAGCCTGATCTGGAGGAGAGATGAGAGGAGGGGATGTCCGGCTTCCGCTTCCAGCGGGGAGGGGGGTATGATGTTGGGTGCGGGCAAGGCATGATGTTGAGTGGCCATGTGGCAGGTGTGCCTTTGGTGTGGTGACTGTGGCTGGCGACGGTGCTGCGTGTGACCGTGATGTGTGCCACCTCCAGAGGCCAGCGACCTCCTCCATCCTTTGTTCCCCTTCTCCTGGCACCTTGAAGGTCACCTGACACCTGAGAGCGAAGGAATATGCCCCTGATGGGACGGATATTGAGGGGTGTGGTTTGCGGTTGTGATTTGCTGTGACCCTGATAGAATCTCTCTTCTCTCAGTTTTGGAGAACCGAGGGGTCACTGGGGCTGTGGTGGGGGCCACCCCCTCCTTATACTTAGGGTGCTCTGGGTGGAGAAGCACCGAGCCTCGATGCTTGGGTTGGGGGTCAGAGTTAGCCGGTGGCTTCCTTCCCTGTCTCCCACCCTCTCCCCAGGGAGACATCCAGGAGCTGCTGATCAGCGCAGACCCTCAGGCGGCCTTCCAGGCCTGTGAGCGGTACCTTCCTGCCTGTGACCACCTGGACCCTGCAGCCACCGGGGTGAGTGAGAGGCTTGCGCTGAGGTCACAGGCTGGTCAGCCCCGGCTTCGGCTTCAGGTCTCAGGGATGAGTGAATTCTGAGCCCCATCTACGGGGCTGAGTGACTCCTGCCCTCCACCAGGTCATAGGCATGGGTGACCTTGACCCGGGATCATAAAGCTGAATGAGCCCTGGCTTCAAGACACAGGATTAGTGGGCGATGTGCTAACATGGCCTCGAGTGACCGGAGTGATGAGGCCCCCACGGAGGGCCTCTGGGTCTGACTGGGGTCTTCTTCCCAGGCCCCCCAGGGTGAGCCAGAAACCCCTCCCCCCAAACGGAAGAGGAAGGGAAAGGGGAAGAAAAAAGGGCGAGGTCGTAAGGGGAAGGGCAAGAAGAAGAAGAACAAGGAGGCCTTGACTCTGGATCCATCTCTTGGCTCCCTGGAGAACCGGGTAAGGGACCTTTGACCTTGCACCTCTGATCGTTGGCTGCCTGACTTCTGGTTCCTGATTCCCACTGATGAAGGTCTCTGCTTTCAGTCTCCATCCCTGACTTTTGATTTACCTTAGCTGACTGGTGACTGGGTGGTGGGAGGGGGTGCTGGTTCTGTCTCATGAGCTCTCCATCTCTGCCCCCAAGTTCTGGGGGGCTGGAGGGAGGGTCCACATCAGGACGAGGACCTTATTATTAGAAGGATCTTGATGAGGGTCCTGTTTAAGGGTAGCTGGGGTTCATCAGTGTGTCTGTCATTCCTTGGGGTTGACTGTTTGGGGCCATTGGTGAGGGTTATTGATTGGGGAGTCAGTAATTGAAATTGGGAGCACTATTTGACTTCCCTGATAGAGATTTATGGTTGGTTGGTCCCAGGGCAGGGGTCATTGCTGAAGGCCATTGGCTGGGGCCCTTGGTTAGGGCAGGGGCACTGGTTGTACTACATCGGCTTCTGGTATCAGCGGGGAGAAAGACTTATTATTTCAGGCCCAGAGCAGGGGCACCAGGGGGAGCTGCCTCTCCCCAGCCCCTTCCTCAGCCCCTTACCTGGGCCCCCACCGTCTTCTTTGTGCTCTTGACCCAGTTCCTCTGCAGCTGTCCAGGCCAGAGGAGCTGCCGCTCCCTCACTGTGGCCTGGCTGGCTGGCTGGGAGCTCGCCTTGGGAGAGAACACGTGGGATAGGCTTCCGGGAGCCTGGCCCTGAGTGCTGGACCTTGACCCTGCTCAGTGGGCTCTGGAGCCAGCCCTGCTCTGTCTTCCAGGCTTCCGACACCAGGCTCAGCTCTCCTCCTCCACACAGGAGAGCTCCCCCTGCTGGCTGTCTTGGTCCAGCCAGCACACCTTCGCCTCTAGTGGCCAGCCCCTCCCCACCTCTTATGTTCTCTGGGAACCCTCTTATGCCCACTTCCCCAGACTGGGAGGGGGGCAGGGCCCATCTCCTCCTTTGTCTCCTTTTTGTCTTAATTGGCCTGGCCCTAAACCTGATCCTCCCGCGTCCCTTCTCCAGACCTCTACCGACATCCCCAAGACAGAGGCAACAGCTCCAACGCTGCCTCCGACTCCCACGCCCTTGGTCATCGCCACCACTGTGACCATTGGCCGCAATGTCACCATCCTGGAGGTTGGCGGAAAGTGGGTGGGGCTGGAAGGGAAGGTCCCTGGGCAGTGGTGGTGGCAGGTGATCCGGGGTAAACCTTGGTCTGTCCTAATGTCCGCAGGAGGGGCTGGACCCTGACAGTGAAAATGAACTGGGGACCCTGGAGACTGATTTAGCCAGAGAGGATGAGGAAGGAGACGGCCCCCCCATGGGCCCCAACTTCCGGGCAGCAGAACAGCCATCCCAGACTCAGTTCCACATCTTCCCTGTGAGTCTGGGTGACTGGGTTAGGCGCAGGGGGCGCCACACAGGGTCACATTCTCCCTCTTGCCTTATTTTTATCTTGCCTAGCATGCCTTCCTACCACCCCCGTGGAGTTGACAAATATTTATCTACAGACACTGTGCTAATGTGGCAGACATCGTGCTAATAGATGGCTCTGTGGGTGGGGTGATTCATTCAACTTTTCGTCTAAGCATGATGAGAAGCCACTGGAGATGGAACAAGATCTGATTGGGAGTCTTAACCGCTCCTCTGGCTGCTGAGCAGCATGTGGACCATAGGAGGAGCCAGAGGGGCAGCAGGGAAACCAGTAGTCTCCGCGATAGCGGCGGTGACCTGGAGGAGGGCAGTGGAGGTGGGATAGAAACAGGAGGACAGATCTGGGTCATGCTCCATTTTGGTCTTGCTGCTGGAGGTGGAGACAGATGTAAGGATGACGGTAGATTCCCGCTGGGACCGTGGAGTGAGACGGGGAAGCCCGAGGGAGGGGCATGTAGGAGGTGCCAAGGATTGCATTTTGGATGTGCTAACTCGGCAACCCCGTTTGGCCTCCAACTGGAGATGTCAAGCGGGTGGTTGGTTATGTTAGAAGATTCTGGTGTTCAAGGGAGACGGTCTAGGCTGGAGATAAACCCTGGAGACTGGTCCACCGAGAGAGGCTATCTTTAGCCAAGGAATTGGATAGAATCGCCTAGGGAACTAATGCAGACAGAGAAGGGGGCACAGGTTCTAGCTGTGGTGCTGGACGGGGTGGAGGTGAAGGATTCTAACCAACTTACCCCGAGTGCCTGTTCTGTGCCAAGCACTGTTTGAACGTATTCCTATGTTCATGGGATGCCTCTTGTCATGGGATGCCATCATTCACCCACCGACTCTGCAGGGGAGGCCAGAGAAGTTAAATGCGTTGCTGTCCACCTGTGAGCTGGTGAGAGGCAGCTCCAGGGTTAGGACCGCACAGCAGGCTCTAGCGTGGGTGCTCTCACCTGACGCTGCCTGGCCAGGCGGCAGCTGGAAGCCGAGCTGCTCAAAACATCTTGGTTGAGGAAAGGACAGCGCAGGCAGCTCAGAGGCTGGGCCCCGTGTGCATGCGTGCACGTGTGTGTGTGTGTGCGTGTGTGTGTGTGTGGAGTGTGTGTGTGGAGTGTGTGTGTTGAGTGTGAGGTTGGTTGGCTGGGAGTTCTTTGTCTGAGTTGCAGGACTCACATCTCTTTTCTGTCCACCCCCTGTCCCAGGGTGCTGGAGAGAAGGGAGCCAAAGGAGAGCCTGCAGTGATTGAACAGGTGAGGGGCCTGGGGCTGGGAGGAAGGGGTGGAATCTGGGCTAGAAGGGGAATCACACTCGTTTTTCCTTCAGGGACAGCAGTTCGAGGGACCCCCGGGAGCCCCAGGACCTCGGGTGAGTCAGGGCTGCATTCCTCTCTTCCTGTCTTTCTCTTCCAGTTGGGGTGTTTGAGCCCCTGGGGTGAGGGGTTGGAATGTGATATTGTCAGGTCATTTGAAGACTATTGGACGGTTGAGGCTCAAAGGATGCCAGAATAGGAACTGGGGTGTAAAGGGAATTGCTGTGGGTCCGCATAGTATTAGGGGCCAGGAATGGCTCCGTGGTTGGCTGCAGAGGTCAGCATGGGGTCAGGGTCAGTGGCGGGTCAGAAGTCAGCCTGGTTCAAACTTTGCGCTTCTCATGACCTCTGTTCCTCTGTCCTCAACAGGGGGTGCATGGCCCCTCAGGCCCTCCTGGACCCCCAGGGTTCCCTGGGGACCCTGGCTTACCGGTAAGAGCCTCCCCCAGGGTGTATCCGTCTGGGGAGTGAGGTTTCAGGCGGTGGAGCTGAGGGGGGCAGCATGGCTGTCTGAACGTGGGTCTGAGAGGCGGGGCCGGGGATACCGTCCTGGAGCTGGTTCAGGCCCCTCCCGCTCCTCTCTCTCCACCAGTGAACTGTCACTTGGGCTCGGCTCCCCTTCTGTCTCTGGGGGCCTGTCTCCTGCTTTTCTCCCTGTTTCTCTCTCTGAGTGTCTTTTAGCTCTGTTTTCTCCTTATGTCCGTGTCTCTGTTTCTTTCTTTCTTTTTTTAAAAAAATATATTTTTATTGATTTCAGAGAGGAAGGGAGAGAGAAAGAGATAGAAACATCAATGATGAGAGAGAATCATTGATTGGCTGCCTCCTGCACGCCCCACATTGGCGATTGAGCCCGCAACCTGGGCATGTGCCCTGACTGGGAATCGAACGTTGACCTCCTGGTTCATAGGTCGACGCTCAACCACTGAGCCACGCCAGCTGGGCCGTGTCTCTGTTTCTTTATCTCTCTTCTGTCTGTCTCTCTCTCTCTGTATTTCTGTCTCTGCTACTTTTTTAAAAATACTTTTTTATTGATTTCAGAGAGGAAGGGAGAGGGAGAGATCAATGAGAGCAAATCATTGATCGGTTGCCTCCTGCACGCCCCCCACTGGGGATCGAGCCGGCAACCCTGGCATGTGCCCTTGACTGGAATCGAACCTGGGACCTTCAGTCCACAGGCCAACGCTCTATCCACTGAGCCAAACCAGCTAGGGGCTCTGCTACTTTTTATGGCTCTCTCCCTCCATCTCTATGGCTTTCTCTTGCCTACTCTCTCTTTCTCTTTCTTTCTGCCTCCATCTTTCTCTGTCTCTCCCTGCCTTCCTCTCTCCATTTCCCTGTCTCCACCCCTCTCCTCCTCCATCTCTGTCTCTCACCCCTGTCTCTCTGCCCCCTTCTGCCTCTCTCAGGGCCCTGCTGGCCACCCAGGAATCCCTGGCATGGACGGACACCGGGGCCTACCGGGAACTGTGATCATGATGCCGGTAAGGAGGAGATAGGGCGGCACAGCTTTGGGGGGTGGAGCCTCTCTTTGGGGCTCCCCTCATTGCCAGTTGCCTGCTAGTTCCAGTTTGCAAGCGGCTCCCTCAAAGGACCCCCAGTCTCCTTCCAGCAGGCCCAGGCTCAGGCAATAATGCAACAGGCACAGGTGCGTGGAGGACAACCAGGGGACTGACGGGGTGGGGGTGGAGATGGAAGGACATCGAGGGAATGGCAGAGATGGGGGTAATGAAGGACTAGTCAGGAGACAGGGAGATATTTGTCTCCTGAAGATCCCCTCTGGC